GATCTCTAGGATACCGCATCCCTCTGGATTCTCGCCAGTTTTTGATTCGCTCTGACCATTTAAATAAATCCTGTCAAACACGAGAACTGATATTGTCGGAGATATTCTGCTCCAGCTAAGTCACATTGTACCTGCTACAGTTGTACTCAGGTCTGTGTTTAGGAGTGGAATGGGTGAGGTGATGGCATTGCTTCTTTGGCAAACTTATTTTCATCTAGCTTCAGCTCCCCACCTATTCCCCACCTACCTACACAAAACAGACTACAGGGTTGATAGAATTTTGTAACTGCTATTTCTGGCACTGGGTAGACCTTTCTGGACTGTTGCCGAAATAGTTATGTGATGCTTTTGTTTACAAGCTGGTTTCAAATTTGCAATGCCACGTGATCTTAGTGTGTTGAAATGCTGGCTGAGGGCTAGGTTGGTTTGTAAACGCCTCTTCCGAACACTTCAGAAACAGCCAGGCGTATACCTGCAGAGGCCGGCGTTAAGGCTAGGTTTCTATTCCAATCCGGCCTGTACTCCAACCAGGTACACGTAATTCAGTGTATGTCAACACACACAACGGCTGTGTACCGATTCCCCTGTCCGAAGGTGCATCTTGAAAGCTGTATTCAAAACAAGCAGCAACATGCATGCATATGAGACCGGCCTTTATATTTATACTGTAGTACAGTAATGGTGGTCTCCTTTGTGACCTGGAGCTGAAAAGGTCAATACGCACTAATGAGTGATGGCAACCTGATCATGTCGACTCATTCTCAAATTTGGTCAGTCACGAACAACACGTGTGCAGCAGTCTCTGCAAACGGCAGCCATCTTTGTATTGGTCTCCAGACTGATCAGTACTCACTGAGTCTGTGCTTACAAACACTCACTGCAGTGATTGACTGGATGATGTCGCTTGTTGCATGACTATTATTCTGCTATCACCTGTGTTAGTATAGGGTTTTGTCAGGTAAGCTGTCTATACCCAGAGTTCAAACAGAGTACAATCATACATATGCCCACTGGCCTCAGCGTCCGCTGTCCTGTACGAATGCAGTTACAGTTAACACCGAGTCGTTTATTGACCACATTGTGACATGTATGTCATCTGTCCCCTCCACCAACCTGCCCTTATTTGTTTATACCCCGGCGAGCCGCTCAGGCAATGTGTGTGTATGCGTGGCTGGCACATGTCACTGTGCACACTGTGGTACTGTGTGCATGTCTGCGCCTGTCATGCTTCCTCCTCCTGCTCGTCTTCACAGGGATCAGGACTGCACCAGAGACAGAGAGAGACCAGCAGTGTTCTCTCAGCAATATACTTGCCTGGTCCAGTCACTGACTCAGTTAACATGGCCTACACGGCTCACTGGATCTTGCAGCTAGAAAACGGTGAGCAACACCTTTCTTTTATCTCTCATCCAGTGGGTTGCTGCCGCTGCTGTTGGTGGTGGTGGTGGTGGTGGTGGTGGTGACCCTGTGAGTGCACTCGGGGAGTGTAACCTATCACTGCTGCATGGAGGCATTGTACCAGGGGGTCCTTTTGCGAATGGCTAAGGAGTGAAGGCTGGCAAGAGAGAACTTCTGCAGAGACATCATTTCATCATCACGTGCAGTATCAAGCTGCCAAATTCTTATTATTCCAACGTTCTAATCCAATGGTAGCAGGGCTGCTACAGCACCCAAAACACAATCAATTAATTATGCATGTCCAAAATTTCACATTGTTGCAATCTGCAGTACTAGTGCAGATCTCACGCACACACTGGACTAGTCAGTACAGTGTACCTTACAATGAACTTCGAACTGCGCCTCTGCCTCTGCTGCAACATCGAATTATCAGGATGAATCCCACGCATTTCCCACTTACAACAGTACTTGCACATGGATTTCATGGCACTGCTCAGAAAGACATTCTTATGTATAATACTGTATACTTTACACAGTAGGGAGAGAGGAAAATTACAGTTACAACTCCGAGTTTTACGCTCTGCCTGCAGTGCCTGGCCAATCTTCAGGTGACTGGTATTCTGGTAGAGGGGACCCGAACAAGTAAGGAAAAAAGAGGAGGATATGCACATTAAAGGGGAAGTATACCCTAAAATCAAATTTTCACCAGTTGTAGTCTTCGGGGTGCTGAGTCGAATGGTCTAGGTCCGAGGAAGCTGAGACGCTCCCTTCCTCCTTTATTCCCAATCGAACTCGCGCACTTCCACCGAAACTGGGTGACTGCGCCCTACTAGATGGGGATTTGTATGCAAAATGTCACTAAAAGCGCCATTTCGTTCTTATAAAAGCACGGATGACCGCGATTGGCCCATATGTTGTAGTCTTTTGGACGCTGAGTCGACTGGTTTTGGTCCGAAAAGGCTGCAATGCAGCGTTCCTCCTTTATTCCCAATCGAACATGGTTGAACAAGCGGTCACGTGCTCCTGCGTACACCAGTCAGCTGGTCACCGTGCCTGCAGGGTACAACTTACTAGCCTGTTTGACCTTTTTTGGGTGCAGTCCTGTCACTCGAGTTGAACTCGAGTTGAACCTTGGTGTGAAAGTTGTCGCCTGCTGGCGACGTGACCAGGTGATTTGGGCACCCAGGAGCACGTGACCGCTTGTTCAACCATGTCCGATTGGGAATAAAGGAGGAACGCTGCATCGCAGCCTTTTCGGACCAAAACCAGTCGACTCAGCGTCCAAAAGACTACAACATATGGCCCATCGCGGTCATCCGTGCTTTTATAAGAACGAAATGGCGCTTTTAGTGACATTTTGCATACAAATCCCCATCTAGTAGGGCGCAGTCACCCAGTTTCGGTGGAAGTGCGCGAGTTCGATTGGGATTCAAGTAGGAAGGGAGCGGCGCAGCTTCCTCGGACCAAGACCATTCGACTCAGCACCCAGAAGACTACAACTGGTGAAAATTTGATTTTAGGGTATACTTCCCCTTTAAGCAGGGAAGCCATCACCTTTGGTTTAGCGTGAAGTGTGTGGGTTACAGTCAGGGCGGCGTCCCACCAGCCTGTGTGAATTCACAGGAAGCGTGAGTTTCGAAATCTGACGAGAATGTTGAAAGGTCGCTACTGGGATGACGCCTACACCTTAGCTTGGTGGTAGCACATCGCTAGCTGGCCACAAGCGAGGATCCCTGGTTCGAGTCCTGGTGGTGCCAGTCAATTTTCCTTCAGACCTTTCCCATTTCAACTGCCTCGACCTTATGAATACTACAGTGCTGGCAACTGAAATCCGACCCCCTGGGCGGCGCGGCGCGCCGCCCAGGGGGTCGGATTTCAGTTGCCAGCACTGAAGTATACAATTTTTTAAGTAAGGTTGAGTGAGTTGAAATGATGAAGTCCTGATAATCGGAATGCATGTCATGTTTTCCAATTATTAGGACTCCGGGACCACCTAGTAATTTCATGACTTTTACATAATCATGTAGACTCTACTGACCTGCATACCTGCAGGCACTTATGCCAAGTTAGTAAAAAGTTATGGTCAAGTTGCGTGTGGATGCCACCATCATTTTTTCTGTAGCTAAACATTTTCCTGTCTGTACTGGTTTTAGTTCAGGGCTTCCTACTTCGAACACAACAATACTATCAATGGTAGATCTGCAGGTACTTTTATTGTGCAGTGTAAGTGGGTTCATACTATACAGGGGTTCATACTATACAGGGGTTCATACTATACATGCATGCAGGGGACCGCTAGCTAAGGTACAGTAAACCTGATTTAAGCAACCATCCCACAGTGCAAGCAAAAGCGGTCGTTAAAGCCAGGTGGTCTTTAGAACCAGGTCCCACAGTGTCCGTGTAGAACTGTCGGTGCATGGAAAAACGCCACACACACAGCATGTAGATCTACATGTATACAATTGTATTTTTACTTACCTACGCCAGGGTTTGGCTGTAGGAGTAGAACCCACTTTGATTGTAGGAATTGTGGCCAGGGGCAACTGGCCCGAAAGTTGGGAAACGACAGACCAGCTAGACAACAGAGGGCAGCAAGGAGGCTTGCCCGGCAATCCCAGTCCCGGTCCCACCGTCCCACTGACCCTGTCCCGGCCTGAGCAGTGGTGTGCTATGGTCGGTCCGGAAGGAGCATAGGCCAGCTGGGGATTCGATTCCGTCCTGGCGTTGGTGCAAGTGCATGATTGTACAGCTGTAGCCTGTACTGAGTCTGTAGTGCTGTTTTTCACCGCAATCCGTCGTGTGCACAACTGCCCTTCTCTGTCTGCTATGGTCTACACGGATGCGATGCAAGCAGCTGTTGATGATGTTGACCATGCCATGGACTGGTACTAACACAGCCTCACAGGGATCATAACAAAATAACTACTTACCTTGGCATGGTCGACACTCGCTGAGTCAGTCAGGTAGCTCCTTGTAAGTAAGTTGTATCGCATCATGATCCACGGTGTCAGTGACTTGTTTCTCAACACGACGGACAAAAAGGTGAAACCCTTCTGTTCTGTCGAGTGTTGTGCCTGTGTAAGTAGTCGCTGCCAGTGTCCATGGTGTCAGGCTAGCAGATACGGCACTCTGGCATGGCAGTGCCCAGCGACCTGGAAAGGCCCAGTGTTAGGGCATGTGTATCGCCAAACGACGTAGACTTGAGACTGAAGTAATACCTAGTTGAGTCTGAAGCTGCTACGCTACGTGGTCGCTCCACTCCTATCCGGATCCGGACAGGCCCAGCTAGGCCGCTGTATACAATCATGTACGAGCTCGTAGTATCTTTTTCAGCAGTGCGCATGCAGTCGGAGTGTGCGCAACGCCCGTTGACAATGACAACCGTTTCAAGCGATATGTCGACAGCTCGATGGCCTTCGGCTTCGATCGTCCCACTGCTCCTGCTGATGAGGCTGCCACCTAGTGACCCTGTCTGTGCACAGTCCGGTTGTTGGAGGAAAGTGCATGTAGACTACGGTTTGGCTTGGCTGGGGGCCTAACTGGTTTCGTGTCTCGGTTTTTGACTGATGTCTTCACGAGTCGGTTCAATCGGTTTTCCGAGGCGGACCTTATTGCAGTAGATTCTGCATCATTCGTACCATCTCCAACGCCTCTGGACACCCCGGCCAGAGTAACTTTGGCTGTTGCAAATCAATCATCAGGGTACACCTTCACAGGACGAACCGAGGAATTGTTTCCCCAAGAAATTTATTATGCTGTCGTCACATCGCTTCTGTTAGTGGCATTGGTTTCCTGTGGAACAAAGTCAGGAATCCCGAGGCACGCTCTGAGTGGTGGAAGAGGAATCACGGCCAAGATCTCCTCCTCCTTTATTCTGAATCGCTAGACTCGACTTCGCCTCGCACTGGGGCCAGGTGAGTACTTGCACGTGCGGCCAGCACCCTGCATGTGTTGCGCTGCACTAACAAGTAACATGCAGCAGCGAGATTCACAGGACAGCCAGTGAACTCCCACACCTTTGCTACATCCAGTGTTGAATCAAACCGCTTCTCAGCTTCTCGAGTGCTACATGCAGTCTCAGTGCTTTGTGGTAACAATCGCAGTGCGATGGTGTTAGCGATGATATTGCTGCAGCCATATTCATATTGCAAGACATTATGATGATCCACAGGAATACTAACTAAGCCTTATAGGTCTGAATTCAAACCACACACACACACACACTACTGCTAGGTGTTTACTAAGTCTGTCTACCACAGTACCAGCTTGACATCTGCATCTATCTTCATAAACATTCACTCTTGCACCTACATTGCAACTCGCAGCAGAAAAAGTGCTAATTGCACCATATTTGCACACAGCCCAAGTCTATATTTATGATCTGGACCGGTTAGAATGCACTGCTATCTTCATTATGTGATGGTCAATATGGCCAGTGTTAGCCAGTTTTGCATGTCCACTACTGATGAGAACTGGACAATATTATTTTGCAAGACGAGTATCCCTAATCAATGTATCCTTGCATTGCTATCAGGCATCATGACCATGTTCTTAGCCCCTAGACTACTGGCATGGTACTTCGGCCCTGTATAGTCATGTGTGTGTGTGTGTGTGTGTGTGTGTGTGTGTGTTTGTGTGTGTGTGTATGTGTGTGTGTGTGTGTGTGTGTGTGTGTGTGTGTACACATGACTTTTGTGTGTATGCACGTATGTGCGTGTATATGTATGTGTATATGTGTGTGTGTACATGTGGATACATGTGCTTGTGTGCCCAGGGGTCAATCTCCTCACCGCTAGCTGGCGCGTGCCATGGGTGAGGAGACACCGAAGGAGAATGGCCCAGTGACAACAGCAGCAGTAACCAACGGCGATGACCATGACCGACAGGGTGAAGCTGAGGCCGATGGAGGTGCAGCCAGTCGGCTTGCTCGCCGCAAGAGTATCCGTGATCAAATCACTGGAATTGGCGATCTTGTGCTGCTGGACCCGTTGACCGAAGAGGCACTATTGACGAATTTGAGGCGGCGCTATTCTAACGACGAGATCTATGTAAGCAGCTAGGGTAGCACCAGCGTTGCAGAGGCTAACTACACTGTGTGTGTGTGTGTGTGTGTGTGTGTGTTTGTGTGTGTGTGTGTGTGTGTGTGTGTATGTGTGTATGTGTCTGCCCTCCCCCCCCCCCCCTCCCCTCCCACTATACGAATGTAAATTCCATTGATCATCACCCTAACCCTACTTTATAGTATGATCGAGTTTTATTGTCATGTGGCAGTTGTTGATGTTGCCATGCTCTTCTTGATCATGGTTTGTCCTGGCTACTGCACTACTGCAGACATACATTGGCTTGGTGGTCATCTCCATCAACCCCTACAAGTCTCTGAAGGCATACTCAAGCGATGTTGTACAGGAGTACCGCAGTCGCAGTGTCTATGAGACCAAACCACATATGTAAGTTGTATAACATCTCATTGCAGCTTGTATTCTTCCACTTCCATGCAGATAGGAGTGCTGCTGGCATATTGCTGCAGTGCTGCTCAATGAAATCGGATCGAGCGACGCTGGGCGCTGTGCAGCCCTGGACTCGCGAATACTGGGGTGTAAGCCGGTGCAGGGCATAGTCTACATCTTGACTCACACAATCAGTTTTCCTTTGAACAGTACTATAGTTTCAGGCTAGCCTAATTCGTATTTGCAAAGAAATAAGGCCTCTTTTACGGGCAAACAGAAAACAATTGACAGTGGCATGGCGAATGATTAGAACACAACACCAAAAAATGAAAACAATTGTATGTGTAAACGGTACCATTTGGTAGGGGAAAGATCCAAGAGTCCCTAATCCCCTTTTAACATCAAAATCAATGAAAAAACGCAAAAAAAAAAACAGGAAAATACAAGGGCACTGTCCTGCCCACCATCATCTCCAAAACCTCACAGCCGGCCCTCCAAGATTGCCAACTCTCGCAATGCATTTACAGGACGGTGATATGATGATCGTATTTGCAACCTCCAAACACATGATACCATCCACCGTTTGTGTATCTGTCTGATAACTTGATGCACTCGGCCACATTGTTGCTGTTTTGGCTGTCATCATGGCTGTGTGCAAGTAGCTTCTTGCAAGATCCCATCCACTCCACAGCCCTTTTTGATTTTTGGCTAATGCCAAAATTATACCCCTCCCCTCCCAAGATGGTGTAACTTGACCTGGATTGGCTATGCCATAATGGGTATACCAATGGTGAAACTCACATCCCATAGCGAGGTGTTCTCGTGGTTCTCGTATGTCACGATCCAGGGCAGTTTTAGTGTGCAAAGATTTTTTTTAAAGAGCCCTCGTCGAAGGTAAAAAGTACTCCGTATTTTTCGCCTTTCCAGCTCCCTCAAACTTATGGGCACTCCATGTCCGCTACATAAACTTTCGAGGCACGTTAGTGATGTCCATCCAATCATCTAGATCTCTCTCTCACTCACTCTCACTCACTCTCTCTCTCTCTTTCTCTCTCTCTCTCTCTCTCTCTCTCTCTCTCTCTCTCTCTCTCTCTCTCTCTCTCTCTCTCTCTCTTTCTCTCTCACACACACACACACACACGCACACACACACACTCTCTCTCTCTCTCTCTCTCTCTCTCTCTCTCCCTCCCTCCCTCCCTGTCCTATACCAGTTATGCTATTGCTGACTCTGCATATCGGTGGCTCCGTGACAAGCATCAGAATCAATGCATCATCATCTCTGGAGAAAGCGGATCAGGAAAAACTGGTAAGCAGTAAGGACCCAGTGTTGTGATCTCTTTTCCAAAGAATACGACAGGGCGGTGTGGAACGTTTGGGTGGTTGCCTTGTGTAATCATTGACTAATCAACAATCATGTGGTTAGGTTTTAGTCCCATGACTCCAGTCTCTCCAGTCATGATCCTGTCCCTACTGACATTGTTTCTGTTCTTTTTCCGTATCCACCATGTTGTTATTCACAGAGGCTAGCAAGATTGTGATGCGCTATGTGGCATCTGTGTGTGGCAAGGAGAAGGAGGTCGATCGTGTGATGCAAATGTTGCTGCAATCAAATCCACTCCTGGAAGGTGAGCCTCATGAAGAAGATGGAGATGGGAGAGAGGGAGACATTGGGGGGGGGGGGGGGGAGATAGAGTGAAGAGAGAGAGAGAGAGGGGGGGGGGGGGAAGGAGAGAGAACAATGACCATGTTCCATTGAGCCTGCCCCCATTTACCCCCAGATCAATGAGTAGGCAACTCAATGAATCAAGACTCATATTCTACCTCACTGGATGACGTGAATGTGGTGTTCTTTTGTCCAGCGTTTGGCAATGCGAAGACAACTCGGAATGACAACTCTTCAAGATTTGTAAGCATCATTGCATGTATACTGCACTCACTCCCAGCATGGCTTGCTTATCCACTCTTGCGGCAAAGATTTGATCGTGTGCTCAAGGTCTCCCTGATCTTCTGTCACCAGGCCTGATTGAGAAGAATATGTATCCTATATTAAGTATCCTATGCGCCGGCCTGGCTATGTTTTTGTTTTTGACTTAACAACGTATTAGTCCTATGGTCTTATGGCCAATGCATATGTATACAAGATGTTTGATATACCCCATACGCCATGCAAACCAGCTTATACTCAGTATTCCTAGCTCCATACTATAAGAACTTTTCTGTGAGTTTTCTGACCTGGACTGCCTTGTCATGACACAATCGTAGTATCACTTGAACTACACTACTCCTCACGGTGGTGAAACTCTTTGTGTAGCTTTCTTTGTGTGAGTAGCCACGTACTGTTTCTTTAAACGACTCTGCTTGTGTCTGTGTCAGGGCAAATACATGGAGATTGAGTTCAACTTCAAAGGAGAGCCGCTGGGTGGGGAGATCACCAACTGTAAGTTGAACGGGGTGTTGGTGTCATATTTGTGCAACTCAAGTCGGCTCTTCTCAATGGTACCCCTTGTTAACATGGTTACCTACAGCTAGGCAGAACTCACATCACACATGGGGTCCCCAAGTAAAATAATAAAATACAATGGCAGCTATTATGTATGCATAGTACAGTCATACTGTCGTTCACAACCAGCCGCCCGACAAACAATAATCACTCTGATTAAGTTGCTTAGGATGTAGGCTAGCACTCTTTTTCATTGGCTTTTCACTCGTTAACGGTGCTTAGGCAGTTAGGCCGGTGGTTGCGTCCGCATAGGAAGGTGAGCTAAGTGAGCTAAGGTTGTGATAAGGAGGTACTGTAGGCTAAGAATAATAAGTTAGGCCGAGTGTACTCTGAGCAGACTGGGTGATGGAGACCTAAGTTACAAGTGACACATATGCAAAACCAATGTGTTCTGACTGTGGACACTGAGTAGTTGGGAGCTGGGAACAGTGCAGGCAATGAACTGATATTGGTTGCCACATCTATAGCATATTATGTGTATGGATGAGTGGGGTGGGGATTGAGACATACATGTTGTATATGCATGGATGGGAATTGAGACAAACATGTTGTATACAGCATCCTGACTTTGGTCAACAGTGTGCTTATACTTCACTTCATCCACTGAATTAGTAGTCACTGTTTGTTTGTCTGTTTGTTTGTCTTCTCCCTTGTTGTGTGCTCACACTCTTCTGCTGTGATCCTCGCTGTGCAGATCTACTAGAGAAGGTGAGAGTCAATCTTACCGCGGCACTGTGTCTGTGTGTGCACAGTGAGCGTGTGCCACTGTGATGCCCAACTGTGACACTGCTGGGTTTCACTTACCGTATTTCCCCGATTATAAGTCGCACTTGATTATAAGTCGCACCCCCCATTTTCAGGTTTGAGCAATATTGTTGCGATATATTCACTTCAGTAGTAAGTCACGCTCGATTGTAAGTCACGCCCCCTTTTTTACCCTGAATTTTAGTGTTAGAAGGTGCGACTTATAATCGGGGAAATACGGTAGGCTAATCACTGGTAACATTGTGGTATTCGCTAAGTGGGAAATGCCTTGCAAGTTGCTTTGGCTGCTGATTCAGCTTCACTACTATGTGTGTGAGATAAGTGAATAACAATTTGTGCAAGTAGCATGGGACGGCATCATGGCACCACGAATATAATATATTCGTGGTGCCATGATGCCGTCCCATGCTACTTGCACAAATTATTGTGTTGATCTCTGCTTTGAACGTTTCACCATGCTATGGTGTGTACGAGTACATGTAACCAGCCTTGCTGCTTCACTGCACTGTGCATCACAGTCCCGACTTGTGGCGCAGGCGGAAGGAGAGCGGAACTTCCACATCTTCTACCAACTGCTGGCGTCAGCGGCCGTCTCGCAGCTACGTAAGCCGCCGCCGCTTTACACCGTCAATGTCTATAGCTTGATGTCGGTCTTGTGGCTTGCTGTTGCTGCCTGAGCCACATTGCACGATGTGACTGAACCGTACCGTACCACCATAATTATAGTTTCTTTCTTGTATGTCAGCCATGTGCATATAGGTAGTATGTCAGCCATGTGCATCTAGGTAGTATGTCAGCCATGTGCATCTAGGCAGACTTAGATGAGGATTCACTATTAAAAGTTAGAACCCAGCACTTCTGACTGAAGTCACGTCCCAAGCATGCAATGTTAATACCTGCCGTATAGATTGATTTCACACCTAGGCCATGTGACTGCACTTGTGTAGAAAGTGTGCATGGCATGCGGAGGGGGTCAGCGGAATCAACATGGCCGATATCATGTGACCCACTGATGCAGGGATCACGGTGGCGGTGAAACCAACATTGCTGTCCTGTTGGTCTTGTGATAGATATGCAACAGCTCTACATCCATGCATACGAGTATCCCACCGGCTCTCCGAGGCGATCATTGCACTTTGCTCCCGTATTTGTATGATTTTCTTGCCGTCTCTGCAGAGGGTTTGCGCTTGAAGCGTGAGTTGGACGCATACCACTACTTGAGAGGCGCTGGTGGTGTGCGGGAAGAGAGCGATATCAATGACAAAGCAAACTTCAAGGATGTGGAGGTATGTTGGCTAAGTCTCTGCTAAGGCGTGCGCATGTGTGCGTGTGCGTTCATTGCAGAATTCGCTTGCTTGTCTCTCCTCCCCTCCCCCCTCCCCCTTACACACACACATGATGCAGATGGCATGGCCAACCAAACTAAGCCCTTATCTATAGCCTCCATGGCGGCGATGATCATGCCTGTGGATCTTACATATTTTGTGCTGGACATGTACTGTAGGTTTGCTGCAATGAAATGTTTTTCCGTCATCTTGTTTCTGGCTCAGTTGGCGATGGTTGCTGTTGGACTGAAGAAACCGGAGATGCGTGCTATCTTCCGGCTTATTGCCGCCGTTCTCATACTCGGCAACATTTCCTTCAGCAGCGTCGAGAGGGCAGACGAAGATGAGGCGTGTGAACTGAACGGCCGACAAGGTTTGTACTCACGGCCATGGCTAAGCCACGCGTCAGTGCCGATTGTGCTCAGATGTGCCACTTGTCTCTAAGATAATGCATGTTTGCTGGCGGATATCGGAGTGAAAAAGAGAGGAATGAAATGAATGCCCAGTTTCATCCTAGCACCTACACCACCCTGGTTGCATCACTTTCAGTATCTCCATGTGAAATAGCCTGAATGACATGAGTAAAACATGCATGTTTACTTTCATCATAAAGCGTACATGCACAACAGCACGATTGCATTCTTGTGTCCCCTTTGCTTGCACGTCTGTGTGTGTGTGTGTGTGTGTGTGTGTGTGTGTTTGTTTGTGTTACCCACAGCTGTGCAAGATCTTGGCTTCTTACTGGAGGGTGACGAGGCCATACTCGAGAAAGCGCTGACGGAGAAGACGGTCGATACGCTGAAGGAACAGGTCACGGTTGCTCTGTCGGTGGAAAAGGTGGGCACACGTCCCCGGAGTTGCTTTTGCCGATCATCTTCTGTGACGACTAAGACCTCCCGGTGACATGGCCATCCCTAGATCTCTAGCAGCTACTTGGTGTCAAAGAAAGTGGCGAAGAAAGTGGCTGCTCCAAACGTCGGAGCTTGCGCTTCCTGCCGACTGACTCGACAGTTGACTTCTCATGTGCTCTCCAGACTCAGTCGTGAGTCAGTCAAGTGTCAAGTCAGCCGGCAGGAAGCGCAGGCTCTGAAGTCTGGAGTAGCCACCTTCTTCACCAACTACCGCCGGTGTTGCTTCTAAGACACTGAGGGATGTGCGAGAAAATGATAATACCTATTGAGAGAGTAGCCAGGCAGATATGCTCTGCGCCGAACTTTTATAAGGGGCCCAGCCGTGTAAGCATGTTATTCCACCTAGGTCTCGGTGTTCTGCTTGCTGTGTTCCATATCATCTGATACCCACTGTTGACCCTGGCATGGCGTCTCCACTCTGCAGGCGATGTTCGCGAGAGATGCTCTAGCGAAGGCTCTTTACGGACGCATGTTCAACTGGCTCGTTCATCGCGTCAACAACAGTATCAAGGTACACATGCCTACAGGTGCTTGTGTCTACTCACCATTCTGCAGCGTGCATGCACTTCTTATGCTGATAGAGGACAGGCTTCTAACTTACACACCCGTAGTCTCACGCAGACTACATGACCAGCCTACGATGCACTGCACATGTACTGGCAATACTAGTATGACCTCCATGGTGTCAAAGCGCATGCACTTCATTCCACTATGCTGCTGTTTTTTTGTGTTTTTGTTTTTGCATTCTGCATGCGTTCAGGTCACGGCTGCAGGCAAGAGAAAAAGCATTGGTGTACTGGATATCTATGGTTTTGAGATCTTCAAGGTACACACCGTCACACATACAGTACAGCAGTACAGCTACAGTGCATGCATTCATGCATCTGCTGCTTGATCCGCATCTCTCTGAGGTTTCTAAGTTACCGGCTGTAATCCATGCACACACCTGTGTTGGAGGACGTGACTTCAGCCTGCACTGAGTAGTGATTACCTCATTGAAAATGTCTTCTTTGATCAGTATTGTGATCTTGCATGACAAACAATGGCCAGGGTGGGACGAGAGTCACCAGTCAGCCATGCAAATCTGAGCAGGAAGCAAACTGTGAAGTGTCCGGCGCGGCGCATGCGCCTTCTGTGTTAACTTATTTTTGCGCGCTCGCGAAAATTCATATATGCTGAAGCGTGCCGTGCCAGCCATGGGTAAGGAATAAGAACACGCCAGGCTAGATCATGGAGATGGGTACATGTGCCCTACAGTTCTAGGCGTGTGAGGTCACTGTGTTTATTTGCTAGCACGGTTGTAGATGTGTAGCGTGTAACACAATTCATACCAGTGTCTCACAGAAATACATTCAATTTAATCTATGTTCTAATCTTGCCGTGCAGCTCAACTCGTTTGAGCAGTTCATCATCAACTATTGCAATGAGAAGCTGCAGCAGATCTTCATAGAACTGACGCTACACTCCGAGCAGGAAGAGTACGAGCGTGAGGTAAGCAGTAGCCAATGTACGAGTATGTACAGTAAAACCTGTCAAGACTCAAGGCGACCACTCTGACAAAGCAGGCGACCATGCCGATAAGGCAGGTGACCGCTCTGGTAAGGCGACCACCTTTCCTGAAGGACCACTACAACCAGGACTGAGGGCCAGAGATGGTACTTCCAGTCAAATGACCCTCAGTGGACAAAAAGGAGACCACCTGTGCACAGAGATCACATTTCAGTGGAAGGTCCCTTAATTAAGCGGTCGGCTTAGACAGGTTTCACCGGCTGTGCGTGTGGGGTAGTGTATAGGGTCTGATGTGACGACCAGTGCTACTTGATACTTACTGCATGCATGGCTGCATGGTGGTACGTGTGTGTGTGGGGGGGGGGGGGGGGGGGACTACAGTTATGATGTTATACACACCAGTTATGATGTGACCATGTCGGTGATCATGTCGGTGTCCTATGTTCATCATCATGTGTGCGTCACAGGGTGTCAAGTGGGAACACATTGACTACTTCAACAACGTCGTCGTCTGTGACCTGATCGAGAAGGTGCGTGTCATCCAACTCATTGCGATGAGATCTTTGTCATGACTGCTGGATCCTCTAGATTGGAACATGTCTCTGTTTGCTAGTATCTTAGTTGTACATGATAAGAAGGCAGATGACTGTGCAGTACCGTCTGGCACCAAAGAACGAATAGGCTAGAAATTTACCAGGTACCGGATGCCACATATAGTACGGAAAGAAAAAAACTACAATTTGTGCAAACACTCCGTCGGTCCCTTAATATGTGTTCATCTTTTAAAGAGAGGTTTGCCTGCAGTCCTTTGGCGCGTGACAATCTTAAAGGGGCCCCTTGGTGTGTGTCCATCTGAAAAGGGTTCCCCGTGGTGCGTGACCATCTTAAAGGGGCCCATTGGTGTGTGTCCATCTGAAAGAGGCTTGACTGTGGTATGATTATGAGTTGCACTCTGTAGTACATTCTGATCCGTTATGTATGGTAAGCAGTGTACCTATTGCTATGCCTGCCTTCGTAACAGGGAGTAGTAAAATACCAGTATTTTACTACTCCCTGCTTTGTACAGCATCTCTTAGTCTTTTTGTCAATTGCGTGTTTCCTCTGTTCTCTGCTCCACCTGACAGCCAAACACGGGTGTATTGTCTATTCTGGACGACGAGTGTCTGAGACCAGGAGAGGTGAGCACTCGCTGTGCATTACTACGGTACAGCAACCAGCAGATGTAGATATTGGCCAAGCCGTGCATTCCCAATGATTATAAATCCTGTATGTGCATAGACGTCCCAGGATGGAGTACCGGTACAGAATTTATTAGCTTTAAATACACGGATGTATCCACCAAGGTGTACAAGTACGGCCGTATTTTCTGCAGTATAAGTCGCACTAGAGTATAAGCTGCACCCAGATTTTTGTATCGAAATACAGACATCGACCCAGTACATGGTGTATAAGCCGCATCCCTCATTCCTTCCAGGATGTGCTATGTGAACACTTCTTTTCAATAATCATGTTACACATTTGAAACAGCAGTACCGTTGATTAGGCCACCCTTTCTTTTTTCGTTGTTTAACGTCCGCGCCCGCGTGCCTTTTTGCCTCCGACCGGAAAAAAAAACAAGAAAGTAGTAGTACCAATAATATGCGAAGTTGTAAATACATGATTGTGTAGTTTCACAGTGTGCCAATCATGACCTTAAACTTATAATCTTGCCTCCCGGGCATGCCTTTGTCTTGTGTTCTTTTTCTTTTTTTTGTTGGCTTTTAAATATCGTACGGTGTGTGTCCTAGTAAAAATCCAGATGTAATGAATTCATGACATGCTAACTCCATGCTTTGTACCTGTTTTGTTGGATTCATCAGGCATGTGCTCCAATGTACCATCAAAGAGTGTTGTTCTATGCCTGCAAGTGCCGTTAGACCCAGAAATATTGTATATATCACATGCTTTACTGGTCAAAATGTTTGATTGGGGTTTCCAGTTTTTGGAATGGGCTTTTGTTTTTTTTCCGCCCTCCCGCGTACCTTTTCACGAAAAAAAGGACGTTAAACAATGAATTAACAAAGGGTGGCCTTAGAGACAAGCCCATGGTTGCCCAACTTTACTTTCTTGCAGGTGTCTGACATGACGTTCCTGCATAAGATGGACCAGCGCTGTCTCAAGCATGAGCATTATTCAAGTCGTGCCAGCAAGCAACTACACAGCGACAAAACCCTACCCAGGAACGCATTCCGCATCAAGCACTATGCAGGAAACGTAAGTGTTTCTACGGTGTGCTGCTGTGAGGGGGGGGGGGGCAGATAGATATTCCATAGAGTCGTTCTATGTTTAACCTACGATGTAAACTCGCTGGATCGACTTCCTTAATTCTACCAGAAAGCAACGTATTTGTATGACCGTAGCATAGCATATTTTTATAATAGGGACTGCCTGACGAAATACAGCAGTAGCGACTTTTTTTGTCCCCCACACTGGAGCTCGTGCTTTTCCACCGACTTGACTTGACTGACTCACGACTGCCATCCAGAGCACACGAGAAGTCCGTCGAACCTTCGACTCGGCAAACCTGGAAGAAAGCCCGACTCACTGCTCAATACGCAGTGTTTCGCGGATTGCTGGACTTCTCGTGTGCTCTGGACGGCAGTTGTGAGTCAGTCAAGTGTCAAGTCAAGTCAATGGAAAAGCACGAGCTTTAGACAGTTTAGTATGGGGAGCAACCAACTTTCCAAATTCCTATTGGGAGTGCCTTTTCAGTAAAATTCTAAATTCATATTTCTAGAATTTTCAATGCAATTGGCGACCCGTGGAGGGTGCTAGGCTGAGCAAGACTATGTACTGGAATGCTTATGTAACTGTCACTGATCCCAACGTTATGAGCGGACTATCAAAACGGGATTTGACTCTGATATATTAATGAAAGGCTATTGGAGTTCTTGCTTGTGTCTATTTCGACTTTGGGGGTTTAGCTCAGTGGTAGAGCGCTCGCTTTGCATGCGAGAGGCCATGGGTTCGAACCCCATATCCTCCAGTTTTTTCTTGTTTTCAGATGCAGAAGGGAGGGGGATTTATCCTGGCACAATGGGGCAGGGATGTGGGGCAAGCATTCCGACAAGCTTATCTTCTTCTCTCAGCTTCCATTGTTTTGGCGAATAAGATTTAGTTCGTTTGGCTTGCACTGTGTGCTTGTGTGTATGTGTGCACTGCATGTGTATGCATACGTGTGTGATTTGCACTACAGGTTGCGTACTGTGTGGACGGATTCATCGACAAGAACAAGGACTCACTGCATCGCGATCTCTCCAGGGCCATGTACTCGTGTGATCATCTGCTTCTGAAGTTGTTTTTCATTGAAGGTATGCACTGTATGCACTGTATGCACTGTATGCACTGTATGCACTGTATGTATTGTATGCACTGTATGTATTGTATGCATAGTACATAGTGTACACTGTACAGCTGTACTGTACTGTGTCTGTGTACATGTAGCTCTGGATGTCTTACGGATAGATCTGACCGGCATGTGTGCTGCCAGGATGATTTCAACGTCACGTGCCACAAGCTGTGCTGTCTAGCATTGCTTGATGTAATCCAGAGCCTGGTGGCGCTTAGCCTGATGGCTATGATAGGATGGCTGCATGGTGCTATTAGTTTTGCTCTGCATTCCAGTTTTTGATTGAAAGACATTCCTATGTCCTGGTCCTCTAGCTGCATGGTCCACCAGCCTGATCTTAATTTTGCTGTAACAGTACCATCTTAGGGGCCATTTGGCATTATCAATAATGTTCACGGAAGGAACAAGTTAAGTTATAACCCCCACCCCCACCCCCACCCCCACCCCTGAACGAAAAAAATTAATACATCGACATGACGTTGATGTGATAGCTAGAGTGGATTGATGTTTCAATTATCAATATTTTTCAAGCGAAACTTGCCTCAACCCATCCACCCTTTAACGATACTTTTTTTCATTTAGTGTATTAAGATCGATAACTATTCACAGCCCCCTACTACAATGTCATCGAGTAGATTTCTTGCCACAATGCCCGTTTCCCTTGTCTTCAGTACTCGTATCCGCCTGAATATGCTATGGTTGTTTGATAAGGCGCATCCTGTCTAATCCTGCTCTGTGTCTGTAGGCGACCCAGAGAACAAGTCTTTGAAGCGCGCCCCCACAGCCGGCTACCAGTTCAAGGCGTCTGTCAGTGAGCTGATGAAGAACCTGACCAGCAAGAATCCAAACTACATCCGATGCATCAAGGTATGGGCTTTAAAATACCTGCAACCGTGTGTAATTTCTCAGATGCAATGATCTCAACATAGAATACCGGTATCTCAATCCAACCTACGTGACATAGACCCATAGAAATTTGATGATCAAGGAATCTGAATGGGTATGTGATTCTTAATTAACGTCTTTTAAAGTTTATACAGCCAAAGTACACCAATGTGTGTGTGTGTGTGTGTGTGTGTGCTCATGAATACCATGAATACTGCCGCCATTTGTACATCACAAGCTAGTTTACGTTGCTTACTGCTGCCACTTCGGCAACATCCCACACGGTCCTCCTAACGCTGCTTGCGATCTCCTCGACTACCTTTAGTCATACAAGATAATGGGATAATTATAAATTTATAATGCCGCGTGTTATCCATATCTAGTGTCATAATGTTTAGCTGGAGAGTAATGTATGTCTGTGTATGTCTGTGTATGTCTGTGTATGTCTGTGTATGTCTGTGTTCCATCTTCATGGATTTCAGCCGAATGACTTGAAGAAGCCCAACAAGTTTGATGATGATCTCGTTCTTCACCAAGTGCGTTATCTTGGGTGAGTACCTACACGTATGCCTGTGTTTACTATGAAAACATGCGCCCAGTTCGGATGCCGGGGCCTGGCTTCTTTTCACATACACCACACTGCTTTACTGTGTGTTTGGTTGGCGGCTTTTCTTTCACTCTGCCCTCGTTTCTTCAGTAACCTGCCGCGATGTTGAGTGTTTGTTTTATTTCTGTGTTGTTTTTTTTTGCAGCCTGATGGAGAATGTTCGTGTTCGGCGAGCTGGCTATGCCTTTCGTCAGGCTTACAACTTGACTTTAGAAAGGTGAGTAGCCTTACGTTTGGTACGTATGTACCCTGGTTTTACCGGCTATAAGTCGACCCTCATTACTGAGGGCCTCGATTTTCCGGTTCAATCGCAATAAACACCGGTTTTACGTGGACTAACTTTTTTTTAAATTAAATACAGCAAAAGCCGGATGTTAGAGAGCCGACTGTGATTGAGAATTACTGGGAACCGGCTGTTAAGATGGGCTACATCCTTGATCCTTTTCTTCTTTTGAACCACCTGCCGTTTCTCATAACACGTTTCTTGATAACACGTTTCTTGATATTTCCAAGCGACTCTTTTTGTGTTCGATCTCCACCTTCATACTTGTAGATTCAAGATGCTGGCGCCAAAGACCTGGCCAATGTGGAAGGGACCTCCACGACAAGGTGTTGTGGAGATCATGAAGGTAGAGGAGCACTGTACTGGCCACATTTGCCACTGCAACGTGCCATTATCACTGATTGTGTACCGCACTACTTGAAGTACATATAACCCCACTCTTTACTTTGTACCATGGTGGTGAAACCGTGACTTCCCTTCACTGAGAAATATTTTTTTGTAATAAAATTAAACAAGATTTACTCTTCTGTTCTGGACCCGTAATAAATCTGTTGTTGTTGTTGTTGTTGTTGTTGTTGTTGTTGTTGTTGTTGTTGTTGTTGTTGCTGTTGTTGCTGTTGTTGCTGTTGTTGTTGCTGTTGTTGTTGTTGTTGTTGTTGTTGTTGTTGTTGTTGTTGCTGCTGTTGCTGTTGCTGTTGTTGCTGTTGCTGTTGCTGTTGTTGCTGTTGCTGTTGCTGTTGTTGCTGTTGCTGTTGTTGCTGTTGCTGTTGCTGTTGCTGTTGTTGCTGTTGCTGTTGCTGTTGCTGTTGTTGCTGTTGCTGTTGCCGCTGCTGTTGTTGCTGTTGCTGTTGCTGTTGCCGCTGCTGTTGCTGTTGCCGCTGCTGTTGCTGTTGCCGCTGCTGCCGTCGTCGTCGCCGTTGTCGCATGTCCACTTCTTTCATTGTCTACTGCAGCACCTTAAGATCACTAACAAGGAGTACGCTTGCGGTCGGTCGAAGATCTTCATCCGCAATCCGAAGACTGTAAGTCTGGGAGAGATGTTTCAATTCTAATACAGTATCTGTGCCACGATACGTAGGTAGTACTGATCAATGCCGTCATCAGCCCTGGGATCCTGTGATGTATTTCATCATCCACTCTTGTCGGGGAATCTCAAGCACGCACACAGAGTGCACCCGACACAACGAACACCCACTCAGTTCATATGGTTTACAAAGTTGAATGCATGATAGGATTAAAGTAACGGGAAGAGAAATAGAAAGTCGAAACTGTCTTCATGCCATTGCAATAATAATTACAACCCCTGAACACCGCGTGGTTGAGAGCTCTATCTGCTCAGGGGGTGCATGCATGCGTGCACAGCACACCCACACGTAATGAGTCTGAAGCACATGCCAGTACGTCATATTAGGACGTGACGTGGCAACGTGATACTAGTACATGCCCCCTAGTGACAATTGTCACTAAAAATGAGGAGAAGAAGATAAAAAAACAGTACCAATTATCGCAGAATAGGAGCCAATAAATTGAGAAAACAAAACAAAAGAACCAAATTTATGACACACACTATTAAACGTCAATCGTCAGAGACGGCCAAAACACGAATTAGAGTCACGAGTCAGACCCAAACTCGGACAAAGCAGAGAACATAGTGGTCTCAAGAGCCATACCTACTAGGCTCACGGAGCAGGGCTCTGTCGCGGAGAAGACGACCACCAGCGGTGTCATCAGGTACACCAGCCAAAGGCACATGGTCCAACGGCTCGTCATCGATAATACTAGCTACATCTAGTGGCTCAGGGATACGACTGGAATGACTTCCAGCAGGCTTCAGCAGCTCTGTGTTGACGAGTTTTTCTGCTGTGCCACGGCCAATCACGACAGTTGAGGGACCAACGACTCGCTTGACGATCCAACCTTCTTCGAATTCGGGGAGTCGTTTCTGGTGCCGGTGTGGACGGCGGAAGAGAACAGACTCTCCAGCCGAGAACGCTTGAGTTGGCTCCTCGACAAAATCGCAGGACGACAACTCTGATTCCAGGAGATCGTACATGGCTGAGGCGCGACGCTGTATTTCCTCCGTCCAGCGGGGAAACGACCAATCTGTTGGGGTAGCATCCACCACGAGACTGCGGGGCTGCCAGCCAACCATTGCTTGCATAGGTGAGACACCGGTGACACTGTGGGGCCTGTTGCGGTAGAAGTACAGGAGCATAGCTAGGTCAACCTGCCAATCACTGGACTCGTCGAGGACCTTCCGCACCAAGGTCAACAGCGTTTGGTTGAACCGTTCTGCGGCACCTTGCGATTGGGGGTGGCGAACTGCGCCAAAACACACGTTGACCCCAAATACCTTGTAGAGGGATGACATCAGGGCATTGTGAAGCTCGGTGCCGTTGTCGGAGCGGATAACATGGGGAGGACCCCACCGAGTGCAGACACTAACAAATGCATCGGCGACAGACTCAGCATCATGGCGAACAAGTGGGACGACCTCCACCCACTTGGTGAAGGTGTCAATGCAGACAAGAACGCAGTGATATCGGCCAGACTTGTTGGTACCAAGCTCGAGCGTGTCAATTTGCACAACACGCCAGGGACCATCGGGAGTTACAGGTCGCGTTGGTTGCGGTAGACAAGGTTGAGCAGGATTTGCCGCACGGCAGGTGGTGCACTCTGACACGTAGTCACGGCAGCGCTGTGCCATACCAGGGAAATAGCATTGGCTACGGAGTAGACGCCACATACTTTCCCAACCGGCGTGACCACTCACAGTATGGGCGACTGCAAGTGCATCGGCAGTAAGACTCTGGGGAAGGGCAGGCACAAGCTCAACATCGTTGAGAGGCGATTTCACGCTGCGAAACAGCACATCATCCTCAATCACCAGCTGGGTTCGGACTCTGCTGTAGCTGGAGTTGGGAATCGGTTCACCGGAGAGAAGCTGGGCCTTAACGGACGAGATCTCCTCGTCAGCAACTTGGGCAGTGGCGATGTCACCCATAGCAAGAGGTGGGAGAGCACGAACGGTAACACCGGCTGCTGCAACATCAGGCTGTGGCTTCTTAGGACTGTCCGGCACACGGAACCAGGTAGGGACACGGGTTAGCTGATCCGAAATATTGTCCTCTGAGCGGACCCATTCAACGTCAACTGTAATGCCAGATACAGTGATCAAATCGTCGATGATCTGCAAACGACGCTGAACCAACGTAGCGTGAAGGCCACTCACTTTAACACGACGAATGTTGTTCAGCAACTGCGTCAACCAGCCATGGACTGTACGCGAATCAGTGTGCAAGACCACGTTCTTCACTGGCCAACACAGAGCGAGGTTGAGCGACTTGATGACGGCGTCTAACTCTGCTATGTTGATATGACGCTTATCATCGGAAGGTCTGAGCCAGGACTTGTCTTCGACGATAGCGCCGTTGACTTCCAGAACCGCACCCATGGCCAGGCCAGAAGCATCGCACCAAACGTGCCACACTGTGGTGTCATCACAGGGCACAGACCAGACACCATGCACAGGATCGTCTTGACGGACACGAGACTCGACCTCACGACATGGTTGCACGAGATGAGGCGGTACGAGGTCATCCCATTTCGATGTGTTCTCGCCGACAAGCCGCTTGATGTAGTTGCACAGCGGGCGTAACCAGGAACATACCGGGTAGTGACTAATCACACGGCCACACCAACTGAACACTTGACGACGAGTTGGTGACTCTGGCAACTTGAGGTCAACACCAGCACGACGTTCCCACGTGACTGTATCTTCGACATCAGAAGAGGACAGCTGTAGGCCCAACACACGAGCAGTTGCGAACTGCTCTGGCTCTTTCGTCTCAAGCCCATAGCTGGCGAGTTCATAGCGGACGATGTCGGTCTGGGCAGTAGGGACGTAGAGGTCGTCCACATAGTTGTCAACGTCGGCGTGATCACGGGTAATCCATTGGACAATCATGTCCAAGATCTTTGGCGCGACGTTCAGACCGAATCCCATGCGGGTCATGGTATACAACTCGCCTTTGTACACAACGGTTTGGTACTTGTACAGGGTGGGATGGATCCGAACTTGCAGGTAGGCTTTCCGGATGTCGAGAAGAACGCTGTCGGCACTACGTCTGCGCCAGTCACGAAGTTTCGCGTCACAAGCTGGAGCGGTGACACCGGGGTGGGACACAAGACAGGCATTCAGGGCACGGTAGTCCAAGCACGGCCGAACCGGCGTGGATGCCTTGTGCTGCTGACTAACGGCAAGTATCGGCAAGACAGCGACAGGCTCTCCGAATGCCTCGGAGTCGTACTTGACAAGCCATCCATTGTCCACCCACAACTTCATTTCTGAAGCAAACTGCTCCTCCTCGCTGACGCTTAGAGACTTCCGCGAGTACTCTCCAATGCCGGAACCAATGTGCTGCTCGGGTGCAACGCCACCCTTCCACGACCACTGAGCAATCCAATGACCACGCTCATTCGACCAGTTAGCTAGGCAATCATTCGCCTTCAAGGTGACTGTCGACTCGGACTCGGTAACATCGATGTGACGAGAAAGCTTGTTAGGCTTCTCAGATTCGGGTTGGGGAGATGCACCGGCAGCGACACCTGCCTGCTGACCAAACACAACTGAGGACAGCGTGCCCCCTAGACCGTCGTAACGTAGAGTGAGGCCACCGACCTTGCCAATGGTATCTGTGCCAATCAGGAAGTCCGTGTTCAAGGACGACAAGTTGGGCACAACGAGACAATCAATAGTGATCCGAGGCAAATGGACGGCTCCATCAAGTCGTTGCACACGTAGCGTGACGTTGCCAAGGATAGTAAGTGGTGTTCCGTCGATAGACAACAGCTTGTCCTGACAGGGAGAAACTGCAGCTGATAGGTTCAATCGGTCAACAACAGCCGACTCCACCAGTGTGCGAGTACAGCCAGAATCCACCACAGAGGCAAAACGCGTCCACGTACTAGACTCAGTACTGGGTTCCTGTACGTCCACGGCTACACGAACTAGGTCTCCATCCGATTTTGCCAGAGCAAGGCAAATATCCGTACGTTCAGGCGGCGCGTGACCAGCAGCGACATTTCCAACTCGACTCTTGTTCGGACAGTCCTTGGAAATATGCCCTTTCGCTTTACAGGCATAACAGGTGACACTGGGCTTACGCTTCGGGCACTGTGATCTCACATGGCCCACGGCCTTACACTGGTAACACACGAGCGACTTCTTGGGCTGAGAGCTAGCAGCAGCAACAGCACCATGGGATTCTGGGAGTTTGGATGCCTGCATGACTCTGATTTGATTTGCCATATCAGTGACAGTGAGCTTCTGCGTAGCAGACGCCATACGAACGTGGTGACCAATATCAGCTGGCAACCCACTCAGGAACTGCTCAATCAGCACGGGATCTGAATTATCCGCAATCTTATGGCCAGACAGCGTAAGTAGGCGCTTCAAATCTGCCAGGTACGCGTCCACAGGCTCTCCATTCCGCAAAGCCCTTGACGTAAATGAACGGTAGGCAGCACCAGGCGTGGGGCAAAATGCCTGCTCCAGCGCAGATTTAATTTTTGCCGGCGATTTTTTGTCCTCGTCAGACAATTGAGTGACAACCGTAAAGGCTTGTCCACTCAGGAACAACGGAAGATGCTCAGCCTTGGCAGCGTCATCGGCCCACTTATTGGCCTTGGCTAAGACCAGAAACTTAGCCCAGAACTCATCAAAGTCGTCCTGTTTGCCCCGATACGGGCGAATAAATCCATCCAACTTCGAAGCCATCTTTCAGAACTTCCAACGGGTTTCGGCACCAAAGTTGTCGGGGAATCTCAAGCACGCACACAGAGTGCACCCGACACAACGAACACCCACTCAGTTCATATGGTTTACAAAGTTGAATGCATGATAGGATTAAAGTAACGGGAAGAGAAATAGAAAGTCGAAACTGTCTTCATGCCATTGCAATAATAATTACAACCCCTGAACACCGCGTGGTTGAGAGCTCTATCTGCTCAGGGGGTGCATGCATGCGTGCACAGCACACCCACACGTAATGAGTCTGAAGCACATGCCAGTACGTCATATTAGGACGTGACGTGGCAACGTGATACTAGTACACTCTCCTAGAATAGCCCACCGTCAGCCTACTGAGGAGTGTACTATAACCGTGTCACTAGGACTACTGCAGACCCACAACCGAACTCATAGTTACGTTTCACACTGATTTAATTCCATGAGGTTATTGTTGGGACTAAGAAAAAGAACTAACTAAAAACAATGTTGGGAGAGCAAGAACCATCTCGCACCATACCGGACGCATGCGCATGGTGCATCGAACCGGAACTAAAGACTAAAGTACAGAGCACGCGAAGGTGCAGTACATGTATGCGCCTGCAAGCAGCAGTGTCAGGAATGCAGTGAATCGCACACACCGCACATGCAGTGGAACAAGGAGTCACGCACGACTCATCCCTGAACGACAACGCCATGCAAGTACTCATGTACACAGGAAAGAACACAAACAGTGCACACAGCAACGAACAGAAGCAGCTAGTACACGTACTTGTACTAGGAGACATTCACACAACACCATGAATACTAGCTAGTGTCAGTCAGGATGGTGGAGGGGGTCACCATTACACTTCAGGAGCAAGGCAGAATACAAAGTTGATGCTCATTGACATACAGATGCTTGGTCTGCTTATAAGCAGGCTCATCCGCCCAGGCTTCACTACCACATACGTTATTGTATGTGTGTGTGTGTTTTTTCTACTTTGGCGCTTCCCTGTGTGTGACCATGCAGGTGTTTGATCTTGAGGACCAGCGTCGTGAGTCGTTGAACCGCATTGCAACGCTGATTCAGACTGTATACCGTGGCTATGTTTGCCGCACCAGGGTAGGTCCTGTGTGCACTGTGTATCCATGACTGAGTGTGTTCAATTGGGGTGGGGTGCAGGTCGGGAGGGGGGGGGGGGGGGGTATTAGAATTCACGAGTTTTGTCCAGCCGCCAACGGTTGGAGCATCTTCAAGGCTGGCTAGACCAATGTGGGTACTGTGCTCACTCACTGCATAAGAGCAGTGTAACTTTACATGTACATGATTGTACTTGTGGTTAGTTTGTGAGGATGAAGGATGCCGCATAGAGCGAGAACGCTGGCATCTACAACTAAAATGGCCCGGGTTACCCTTATTTCAATGTTGTCAGGGTCCACAGTGAACAGTGAACACTGGACCACCCACTTCAACGCATGCACCAGCATGATTGTGCAGCAATAACGTTTCAAGGTATTTGTCCAAATTCCATTCTGATTTAAACAAGGATATGGCTGCAGCAGAACTTGATAATGATGAAGATACCTGGCACAGCATGCACATCCACCAAACCAGTCCTAAAAAGTAACTCATATGGTGCCTGTGAATAGCCACGGTACTACGGATCAAGAAACACGTTTGTGCTCTGTGCGTTTGTTTCACACACACACCTTATACATGTGCATAGCGTAGCCCTGCATCACGTGTTCTATTCTGTTTCCTGTTTTTCTTCAGTTCCTGGCACTGCGCTGGGCCACCAACATCTTTGCCAGCAACTGGAAGTGCTTGCTGGTGAGTTCAGTATTGAGTGTGAAGGGTAGAATTTCAATATCTGACTGAGTGATGTATTGCATCACGAGTGACGCAGCTAATCAGCTTTTAGGACTGCTACTACGGCAAGGGGAATTTGTTCGTTTGGAGAAAAAACTGGGCTTCTGACATGCAAGTATTGAGTGCCAGAGGCAATAAGCAGAATTCGCCGTCTCACGTGACTGAACACCTTGTTTTGTGGGCTCTTGCACAAGTCTTGTGGCAGAATATCGTGCTCTGATATCGCCTTCATTGTGTTGTATTTGATTGATTGCACAGCAACAAAGACAGTTCCTGGCATTACGGTGGGCAGCGGTCATGTTCCAGTCATACTACCGTGGACTTGTGGTAAGTAGTTGACCTTTGCCAGTTCATGTATGTCACACAGTTCATGTATGTCACACAGTTCATGTATGTCACACAGTTCATGTATGTCACACGGTTCATGTATGTACACTTGACGTGCATGTGGATATGGAGAGTAAGGTTGGAGACTGATCGAATGAGCCTATTTCTGCTTTGGAAGGGCAGCTTGGAAGCTCTCAAGGGGGCAGATGAACATATAAGCCCTGGGGTGTTTATCAACTGTGCCGCAGAGCCTGAACATAGTCAATGGATTTATGCAGAGCAGCTCAACTTCTCTGTATTTGGACACTGCTAGGTGAGAGGTCCGATTGTTCGTCGTGTGTTGGATTGCTTGTGTGTTCTCAGGAGCGCCGCAAGTACAATGCCATTATCTATGGCAGGAAGTGTGAGTGGGCAGCCACCATCATTCACAAGTACTATCTTGGATGGAAGGTCAGTACATGCAAGGTCGTGCTCAAGGAGTTGTTGTTGTTGTTGTTGTTGTCGTCGTCGTC